AAGCTGTTGGAAATGTACTGTATCAGAAAGCAATCTTTTTTAAGGCCATGGTCATCATTAGAAAAAAAAAAAGAAACATGTCTTAATGATAATATCATTGGTCATTCAGGAATATATAAACATTCTAAATAAATTTAATATGATGGATTTAATAGAAATCCCTCAAAAGAGATAAACATAAACTTGACTGAAGTATAAGGAGTAATACACAAATTCAGAATCACACAATAACATTCATCTCTCAATGAATGACAGTAATAAGCTAACAACAAAAAATCAGTTAATATATAAAAAAATGAATAAATATGACCAACAAATTCATGTAGTTGACATACATGGAATATGGTATCTAAAACCTGGAACATGAATTATTTTCAAGCACATAGGAAACACTTATCAAAGTAGATCATATGTTGATCCATGATGTGAGTTTTAACAAATTTTTGAAGGATTGAAATCATAGAAAATAGGATATTTGACCACAATGAAATTAAACTAGAAATAAAAAACAAAAAGTAATTTAAAATTCTAAAATCTTAAAAATTATATCCTTTTAAAAATCCATGAGGCAAAGAGGTCTATCTAATAGAGATCAGGGAATATTTGCTAATGTTCTGAACTGAATATAATAGAAAAACTACTCAACAAAATTTGTGGGATTCAGCTAAATCCATGTTTTTAAGGAGATTCATATACCTCAAAATGTACATACATAAAACAATGAAAGGATAAAAATAAATTATCCATGTATTCATGTCAAAAGTTAGAAAAAGAACATTAAATTAAAGAAAGCAGTAGGAATAACTAACAAAGGTAAGCACAGACATTAATGAAATAAAAACAATGATCAAGTATGAACATAAGAAATGTTCATTCTTTGAAATGACTAATATAATGATAATCTTTGGCAAGATTGATAAGAAAAAGAGAGAAACTAGAATAACCAATATCAGGAATTAAAAAAAAATGAACATTAATGATTTTAGATTCACTAAAATCTATTTTCTATAAAATGCCTACACTAGACACTCATCTCCTTTCACAGTGAATTTTAATGAAGTACAGAACACATTTTAAAATATTATTTCAAGGCTCAAATTTCTACTTTGTACTTGACTAGGCAATTTTTAGTAAAGCTTAATGACCCTTAACTTTTCTGAACTTTTCTTAACTGTGTATGGACTGGCTTCTGAAACCAGTAAAAAATTCTCGTCTCTTTTTTCTCCATAAAATTATTATTCCCACATACTTTTAATTTTCAAAGAAAAATACTATAGTTCTAACAACCTTCAATGATGACCAATTAGGTCTTTTTTTTTTTTTTCATATCATTATGAGTTCATGAATTATTTTTTGTTTTGTTTCAATAAATTATAGTCTTTTTTTTTAATGCTCAGATTATCTTCTCATTTGCCAATGACAGCTTCTTCAGGTTGACTCATATGTCCTTTTTACATCACCACATTAGTTTTTGATAAACTCCTTGGTTCCTGGGAAAAGATGCTCCAGATTCATCTTGTACATTCATATCCTGCATTAGACCTGAAATCAGCCATTTCTCCAAGGACCCCTGGTTCCTTTAGTGAGAAATTATGTGTAGAGACCAAAAGTGGATGTTCTTTGCCATTGGGTTGCTATTGAGTTTTGCTCTTTTTAATGTACACAGCTAGGAAATACATGTTTTTAGAAAGAAAATATAAATCTTAAGTTTATACTGGTATTACAAATTCAAATTTAAGATTATAGAGTTCTTTTTTTTTTTTAATCTTTATTTTTTTGGAAGAGAGACAGAGTGTAAGGAGGGGAGTAGCAGAGAGAGAGGGAGACCCATAATCCAAAGCAGGTTCCAGGCCCTGAGCTGTCAGCACAGAGCCCGACACGGAGCTGGAACTCACGAACCATAAGATCATGATCCGAGCCAAAGTCGGACACTCAACCAACTGAGCCACCCAGGCACCCCAAGTTTATAGAGTTTTAAATGACCTATCTGATTTTATGTTTGTATCTCTTTTTTCCTACGTTGATATCTTGGTTCTCATAAAATTAGACATGATGCCTACTTCCTTTATATATACATAAAATAGCTTCAAAATAATACTTATATTATTACTACTAATTGTATTGATTATGGTTTAAGATTTCTCTCTCTTTCGCATCCTTACCTTACATCTTACTAGAGATACACAGTCAAAATGCATTATCTTAAAATCATTTGAAAGAATTCACTTCTTTGTATGGTTATGCTACCATACAATTGTTCTTTTGAAAAATACTGTATCATTTAGACCTTTTTAATACCTTATAAATTGAAAGAGATATATTTGTTCATGAAATTAAAAAGAAAATAGAAGACAAGGGACAGACTGGGAGAGAATATCTGCAAAATATATATCTAATAAAGGATTGCTAGCCACAATATACAAAGAATTCTTTAAACTCAATAATAAGAAAATGAATGAACTAATTTAAAAATAGGCAAAAGACCTAAGTAGACATCTCACTAAAAAAGATACACATGGCAAGTAACCCTATGTAAAGATGTTCTACATCATATGTCATCAGAAAATTAAAACAATTAGATACTACTACATAACTATTAGAATGGCCAAAATCCAGAACACTAACACCACCAAATGCTGGTGAGGTTGTTCATCACTGGTAGGAATATAAAATGGTACACATAACTCTGGAAGACAGTTTGGCAGTTTTTTTGCAAAACTAAAAATGGTCTTACCATATGACCCAGTAATCAAGCTTCTTGATATTTATCCAAACAAGTTGAAAACTTTGTCTACACACAAACCTGCAGACAGATTTTTGAGTGGGTTTATTCATAATTTCCAAAATTTAAAAGCAACCATAATGTCCTTTAGTATGTGAATGAATAAATGGTAGGACATCCAAACAATGGAATATAATTCAGTGTTAAAAAGAAATGAGATATCATGCCATGTAAAGACATGGGGAATACTTAAATGGATATCACTATGTGAATGAAGCCATATGAAAAGGATACATACTGTATGATTCCAACTATCTAACATTCTGGAAGAGGCAAAAACTACGGAGACATTAAAAAGGTCAGTGATTGCCAGGCGTTGAGTATGGGGAGGAAAGAAATCATCTATGAAAAATTTCAGATGATTTTTAGGGCAGTAAAACTATCCTGCATGATGCTATAATGGTGGATACATGCCATTGGAACCCACAGAGAGTACAATACTAAGAGTGAAAATGTAAAGTTTGGGTGATAATGATGAGTCATTGTAGATTCATCAATTATAAAAAATGTATCATTCTGGTGTGGGATGTTGACAAAGGAAGAGACTGTGTTTGTGCAGGGATTATAAGAGAATTCTCTTCACTTTCTGATCAGTTTTGCTGTGAACCTAAAACTACTCTAAAAATAAAGTATATTAAAAAATGTGAAAGTAATGCTTGATCTAGTGGTTAAAATGGTATATCACCAAGGACTTGACTTTGCCCCACATCTCTTTTTTGCTTTCTGAGGTGTGTTATCTCTAATATTCTTTATGGTGGCTTCCTCTAGAATCTTCCATGCCTATAAATTATAGTGGCAGCTTAAGTCTTACATTCTCACAAAAATAGAGAATATAAGAGAGATAGACTCTTCTACAGAGACTCATTGACATATTGGGGAGAAAGTGTTTCTCCCTTAGAAACAGAATGTTCTCCCTGAAATTCATTGGCCCTTAAGTTTTCTGTACATCCCTGAGTTAAACACTGAGACAGTGGTATAGAACAAATGGATGGACCAAGGTTAATCAAAGAAAAGAGGATAGAAAACCCAACACTGATCATTTGTGTAAGTGAATAGTTCTTGAGAAGAAATAAAACGTTAACAGATGTATTTTTTAGTTCTTATTTCTTCCTGTGAATTTGAGTTATCATTTGCTGGTACTTCCTTTCAGCTTGAAGGACTTCCTTTAGAATTTCTTTGAGAGCAGTTGGCTCAAACTTTTATTCTTGGTTTATCCAGGACCTTTTTTTTTTTTTTTTTTTTATTTCAGCTCATTTTTGAAGAATAAGTTTGCTGAATATAGGTTTTATTTTATTTTATTTTATTTTATTTTATTTTATATTATTTTAAGAGAGAGAGAATGGGGGAGAGGGGCAGAGGGGGAGAGAGAGAGAGAGAGAGAGAGAGAGAGAATCTTAAGTAGGCTCAAAGCTCAGTGCAGAGCCCAGTACAGGGCTTGATCCCATGACCCTGGGATTCTGACCCGAGCTGAAATCAAGAGTTGGACACTCAACCGTTTGAGCCAACCAGGCTCCTGGTAGATGATTTAAAAAAAAAAAAATTAACATTTGTTTATTTTTGACAGAGAGAGATAGAGCATGAATGGGGGAGGGGCAGAGAGGGAGACACAGATCCCAAGCAGGCTCCAGGCTCTGAGCTCTCAGCACAGAGATCTATGCACTATGAGATCATGACCTACACCAAAGCTGGACGCTTAACCGACTGAGCCACCCAGGCACTCCTAGATCACTTTTTAAAATCAGCATTTGAATACTGTACATTTTTCCAGTGCTTTCTGGAATTGTTCCTGATGAAATTTTAGTCATTAATCATACAGATACTCCTATACATGATGATTTTTTTTTCTTTGTCTTCTCAAGATATTTTGTCTTTGGTTTTCAAGTCTGACTATAATGTTTCTAGAGATGATCCCTTTATGTTCATTCTCTTTGGGATTGGTTGAGATTCCTGGATCTGCAGATTAATGTTTTTCATCAAATTGTAGAAGTTTCCAGTTATTATTTTTTTGAATAGTATTTTCAGTCCCTTTCTTTCTCTCATCTCTGTTGGGAAATCCAATTATATTTACAATTGGTATATGTGACCTTTTCCTATAGGTCTCTGTGGCTCTTTTCAATCTTTTATTTTTGTTGTTGCTGTTCTTCTTCCAATCCATGAGCATGGAATTTTTTTTTTCCATTTTAGCAGATGTATTCTTAATTTTCTTTGCTCTTGTGAGTCCTACATCATTTGAAAATGTTAGAGGAGAGTGGTACCCTGAACGGCAACACCTCTGTACCAACACCCCCATCATCCTGGTGGGGACTAAACTTGATCTCAGGGACAACAAAGATATGATTGAAAAACTGAAGGAAAAGAAGCTGACTCCCATCACCTACCCACAGGGTTTGGCCATGGCTAAGGAGATTGATGCTGTAAAACACCTGCAGTGCTTGGCTCTCACACAGTGATGCTTCAAGACAGTGTTTGATGAAGTTTTTGAGCAGTTCTCTGCCCACGCTTAGCCTCCACCACCAAGAAGAGGAAGAGAAAATATCTGCTATTGTAAATATCTGTTCCCCTCTCCTGCCCTGACTTCTCAAAACCTTTGTATGCTTTGCTAAAAAATGGTGAAGCCTTTACGCTCAATGCCAAATTTCTGTAACAGGTTAGTTTTTCCATAAAACCATATTGAACCAATTAAGAAAAATGCCTAGATCCAGGCATGTGTATGGGTGAGAAAGAACACTCAATGTTCAAGTCATTTATGTATCTCTCCTGGTTTTTACTTTCTACTGGACCTTTTTGAGTCTCCTCTTTTTTTTTTTTTTTTTTTAATTAAAAAAAATTTTTTTTTCAATGTTTTTATTTATTTTGGGGACAGAGAGAGACAGAGCATGAACGGGGGAGGGGCAGAGAGAGAGAGGGAGACACAGAATCGGAAACAGGCTCCAGGCTCTGAGCCATCAGCCCAGAGCCTGACGCGGGGCTCGAACTCACGGACCGCGAGATCGTGACCTGGCTGAAGTCGGACGCTTAACCGACTGCGCCACCCAGGCGCCCCATTGAGTCTCCTCTTTCTACATGCACAAGCTAATGATATGCCAGGAGTGTTTAAATAGCTCAGGGCCTTTCCAGTCCACTTTCCAGCTAGGTCTTTTTGGTTCTTGTGAAAAACAGTGACTAGGAATATGCTTGCCCAAAACCAAATGCAACATCAGACTAGTGGAATAAGATAACAGCTATACCTCACATGCTACTTTCAAAAGGTAATTTTTCCAGGAAATAATGAGTCCACGGCGATAAAACCCTAGTGGTCCTCATAGCCTACCTTACCTTGGCAGAGCTTCTACATTGCCCAAGCTTGGAGTGAGGAGGTGGTGTCAACTGTAGGCCAAAAGGACAAGATTCTTGCTCTCCTTGCCTCAAGTCCAACAATTTTTAAATATAAATGTTTTTCAGATTGTTTGGTAAATTTCTAAAGTCTTATAGTGGTTGTTTCAATCATGCTCATTTTATAGTTAGTTTTCGGGTTATATCTCATTCATCCATAAGTCCTCTATAATCTCTTTCATGAGTATAAAAACAAGGAATGATCAGGAGCTCATGAGCAGGAAGAGTAAAAAAAATGCATGTGTTTATTTTTAAAGCAGTCCAAAATCCTCAGAATAAAATAATTAAATGTCTTTGCCATATTTTGGGTTTCTCTATGAAAATATACATACTCTAATTAACTTCCTATTATTACATTTTTATAAAATTCCAGGCCAGAATATTTTACTAAACCAACTCTTTATTAAGCAACTCATTATGTCTATTTTAGCTCTCCTTTGCTCGGTTCTTAAATAGCAAATCTTTTGATTTATTTATTTACTAAATTTTTACTACTTTTCTAATACATGCTAAATATTGTTCTATGAAGTTAGAAGGCAACAGTGATAAAGATGCAGATTTTATTTCAGGGAAATCATATTCTAAGGGAGAAGTTAAACAAACCAAGCCCATTAAAATATCAGCTGATAGCACAGAAGATATGTTATTTGACCTTCATAACACCTTCAGTAGAAAATTTTTACTTTACAGAAGGTGTTCTGTTGCCTCTGCCACCTTCTCTCCAACATACTTTCACATAAGCAGCATCTATTGGTCCCTTGTGTGTGCAGAGAGAAGTACAGAAACCTATATGGTTTTAGAGAGCTGCACCAATAAATTTTCTGGAAGCCACTATCTTTTCTCAAAGTCTTCCTTCTTTCCCAGAGCTTTCAGTAAGCCCCCAACCCCCAGGGTTCTATTGAATCCCCTAAGCCTTTATATTTTCTAAAATCTTAATTGAGTACTTAAAAAAAATAAGAGTGAAACTACATGTTTTTAAGACAAAAACATTTCCAACTTTCTGTGATTATTACCAAGAAAACAGAAATTTTCATAATAATCAACTAAACAATTACTCTTTTGCTGTCATTTTCAAGGAAATAAATGTCAAAGCATGGTTTTATAGTGAAACACTGCAATAACCTATAAATTTTCCAGTGAAAGCAGCTCTATAGGGTAGATTCATGATGAGATGAAATGAAAGAAGCAGGATTAAGCAACAGTCAACTGATATTAAAATGTCAAACACAAGGTGAAAATAATCCTTTGATTGAAGATAGTAGAGTTTGTGGAATTCACATGTTTTCACAAGGATGAACAACTATTTCAATAAAGATATTTTCTTTCATTTTTTGACAAGACACTGTTCTGTTGAATCAATTGAGGAAAAAAAAGGAAAGAAATATCAATGCTTAGCTCCTGTATAAGTCAAAATAGGTTAACTTATGCTATGATAGTAAACTAACTCCAAATTCTCAGCAGCTTAAAGCAATAAAAAGTTACTTCTTGTTTTTGCTGCAGGTTCCATGCTTCCACGCAGTGCAACCACAAAGTCTCTGCTCATAATAGGCATTGAGGCTGATGGAGGCTCTGTTTCAATACTTGCTTCTAACAATCACCAAGCCACAAGGAGAGGACTCGGTAAATTGTGCATTGATTGTTAACGCTTTTATCGAAAAGTGACATACATATTTCCATTCTCATTTCCTTGACCAAAAAAGTCGCATGGCAATTCCTAACCACAAGAGCAAGAATGTTAAGTTCTTCCAGCCACCTGGAAGTATAACCAGAATATTTGTGAGCAGCTCTAAATACTACCTCTGCTCTTCACGCAATCTACAATCTAATGAGGGGAATTAGACATCGACTCCAATGTCATTATAAGAAGAGATATGATAAGGGCTGACAGCATAATGATAAAAATATAATGGTAATGACAATAAAAATGTTAATAATGTCTAGGTTTTATCAATTTATTATTTTGCCCGTCATCATTCTAAGTGTTCTACATGGTACTACTAATGCATTTTATTTTCAAAACAACTCTATGAGGTAGGTCGTATTGTTATTGTCTTGTTTAATAGATGAGAAAACTGAAGTACCAAGAGGTTAAGTGACTTATGCATAACATATATATTAGTGAGCCAAGATTAGAACCTAAAGAATTTGGTTCCTGCGCTTGGACTTTACAGGCTTAGGACATAATAACCTGCTTGCCATAGTACTTTGATTTTCAACCTTTGCTTTTAATTTACAAGACGTGTCTTCATCTAAAAGCTTACTTAAAAAGTTAAGAACTAATCCAAGTGATGCATCTTTAGTTAAAGTGGGGCAGCATGTACTGTCTTCCAGTTACAGATCTAGAAAGTTGGCATTAACATAAAAAAAAAAACCTTGACATTTATTTGCTAAAAATATGACTAATTAATATAACGCTTCACATCCTCATACCCTAGCTAAATTATCTGTTTGTAATAGGTGCTTTGTGACATTAAAAAACAGAAAAAAAACAAGTGTCCTGAGACACAAAGTCATGAGTCTATTGTCACGCTAAAATTTAATGGACTAAGTTTTTTATTTCTAGAGTTCAATTTTTTAAAAACTTTCTCAACTACATGGACACAAACAAATCCAGGATTAAGAAAGCTGTAAAGGAAGAATGGACAATGCTCCATAAGAAGGCTGAAAAGCACTATCCTACCAGTTAATTATTAGCCAGCTGGGTAATCTTGTTTAATTCTATAAGGAGGCCAAAAAGCACAGCTATCTGGCAGCCACCAACAGAGAAGGAGAGTCTGAATACCCTCTATACTCCATGAAATCCATGCACCTGTCGAAAGTATTTGCTCTTCCAATCTTCAATGTGCTTCCCATTATTCATTCTTCATTAACATTGAAATGAGAAAAATACTGAGATTTATATTTTTCTGACTTCTCTACCACTAACTGCTTTCTCTTAAATTGTCTTCATATAAGAAAGAAACACAAAGCCAATATCTATAATATTTCTTCTCAGAATACAGCATTTAACTTTAGTAGTCATTACTACATATAGTTTTAAGGAGATATATACTTGAAAACAAGCAAATACAAATATTTGGCATCTTAGCTACCTTTAAAGCAATTAGGTGAAAAATAAGAAATATTTAAATAACTACAAAAATAAATAGATATATAGATATTATACACACCCCTCTTTCCTACACACAAACACAAAGACATTCATTTACTGAATACTTCCACTTTCTATGGTTCTCTTTTAATTAACCTCATGAATATATTAATGTATTTCAGCCATGCTACATAAAACTGTTTTTTAACCTCCATAATTATAAGTGGGTGTCAGTATGTTTTTTAAAAAAAGGTTAAAATATTTCACTTCTTAGATTATTTTCAACTCTACTGTTATTAAGATTAATTCACAACTGTAAATTTGAAAAAGCATTTTGGGTTTAGATAGCAAAACTGATAATATTTCAAATGTAGTTGTTCTACATTTAAAATGGAATCAGGGCACCTGGCTGGCTCAGTCAGTTGAGCATCCGACTTCAGCTCAGGTCATGATCTTGCTGTTCGTGAGTTCGAGCCCTGAGTCAGCTTCTGTGCTGACAGCTCAGACTGGAGCCTGCTTAGTGTTCTGTGTCTCCCTCTCTCTCTGCCCCTCCCCAGCTTGCACTCTGTCTCTGCCTCTCAAAAATAAATAAACATTAAAAAAAATTAATGGAATCAAAAAATATGGTAATTTAATGTTGAAACTAGTATAACATGAAGTGTTTTCTTGAAAGTGATTTTATATTTCTTAGAACCTTAAAATATAACTCTGGCATATCTCCTACATCTCTTCTTCATTCTCTGTGGTTTATATTACAGTGTGTGCTACTGAATGCAAAATTCAAAGTCTCTTTTAATTTTCAAAAAACCCGTAAGTGATTAAGAGGGCTTAACTGAAATTTCTTATGGTCCTTGGAGAAGTTGGACATAATACATAAAAAAATCCTAAAAAAATAAAAACAAACAAAAAAATCATACTCACTTGAGACATTCTTGGTTTTTCAAATCTTGT